GTTGTAGACAATGTTCATGTAAAGACTCTATTCCTTTTCTGCTTGATTGAAAATATTTCTATTTCAATCGAGCTGTAAGATGAGATAAAGCAAGCACAATTATGATCATTTGCCATAAAAAAGAAACGTAAAGTTTCTTCGTTAATGAAAGCTTTCACTTTGTATGAATTCGAACAAATATGAAAAAATTAATTTAATGAGAACTTCAGTCTTGTCAAATCTAATCGATATTTTTAATTTAACTCGATTACTTTTGAGCACATTAGTGAAGACGTCATTAATAATATTGCAGTATATCTCTAACAATAACTTTGCTTTCTTGTGAAATTTTTCACAATTCGATATTCAAAAAAGTAAGTTAATAAAATCTTAATAGTCGCACTTGTTTATAGGTTTCTACATGTCAAAAAAGCTCAAAATTAATTCATTAGATTTTATTAACCTTAATTTTCTTGTGATGATATCTGTTTAAAAAAGAACTGTAAATAATTCGTACTGATGGATATTCTTTTCTTTTTCGATGAGCTTTGTTTTGAGATGATCTGTTAATAATTATAATCGAATTTACTGTTGATTTTTAATCATCAAATATATTGAAAGTAACGCTCAATCGAAAAAATTCGACTTTTCATTAATTAATCAAATGCATTAAATAGTTTTTAAAAGACTCTTAAGAAAGTTTCGATTAAGAATCATATTGTTTTAATGTTTCACTTCAACAGTATCATTATTTTCAAGCAAAAGACTTATCACTCGAAAATTTAATAAAACATTTGTAATTATGATCAATATCAATTCTTGTTCCACTAAGTATTTGAAAAATAAAATTCCCTGATAAAATATAAAAACTCACAAGAAGTAGAAATTCATCAAGTATCATTAGACTTATCTATACGGTTATAACTCGAGTCGAGAGGCGTATGGATACGAATCCTTTTAAGAATTTTCTAGTCTTATCGAGACTGCCGATTCGGTTAATTCCATCATAAGTTGAAAATAGTTAAATGGTTATCTGTTTCAACAGTCTATTACTGATTCTTCTTTAGCACAACTTAATTTTTCCTTTAACATAACGATCGACTTCTTCTAAATCAAAAAGATGTTAAGAGTTTTTTCGAAGTTGCTTGCTAAATATCTCTTATCATTATAACAAGCATCCTAATTCTACTCCACTCTAGAGAATTCTGTTTAGTGCCGTGTCTTATGATGTTCTCTCAATGAAATTCGATCAATTAAATGAATTTAACACAAGAAATGATCATAAATATTAAGTATATGTAAGTAGACAAAAAGTACTTCTATAAAAAACGTTTTACTCTTTTTTGAATAGATATGAATAAATGTTTAAAGGATACCGTTGAACGTGCATTATCTTATTGATATGATAATATTCTATCATTAATTTATTCAGATCTAAAATTATTTATATATATTCATAGTACTTCACTTCAATAATTAAGTAAATATCGTGATAGAGTAGCAAATGGCAAATATTTGTTGAATTTAATGCACTAATAGGTTTCGAACAGTAACGAATTCAGAGAGAAAGAAAGGCACTGCAAGTGATCGGTTCTCTCATTCGAAATCTTTTTTAATTTTTCTAAACAGAAAATGCCCAATAATAAGCTGATACGATCTCGAAATGAATTTGAAAACACATTTTGTAACATTAATCGACCTATTTTTCTAAAAGCTTAGGTTTTTCACTGATTTGAAAGAATAAAGAAAAATTGAAATTGAAATTGAAATATATTTATTTTGTTTGAAAGAAATTTTATTGGTTTATGAATTCAATGGAAATTTAAATTAAATTTAATAATGTTGTACAAAATGATAGGGTTAAAAAATCAATTCATAAAGTTTCTAATCAAGAAAAAGCAAAGCAATAAAACATTTTATTCAATAATTGAATCAAGCATTGTATATGGAATATTTGCTATTTTTTAATTTATTTTACTGAAATTCTAGGAACAATTTATTAAATATAATTTCTTGTTTTGACAATAATTTCGCTTTAATTTATTGAGAAGAATCTTTTCAAATAAAATATTCTTAATAATGAATAAAACAAAAAACAAAGAGATATTTAACTTTGTTTTTCATTTAAGATAAATTTCATTCGAATTAAAATTATCACCTACGTTTGTAAAAGGAAAAATTCTTAGAAAAAAAACTCTTCATTCTAATTCGAGTTGCATTAATATTATTTATATAATTCCAGTAAAAGACTCCAAAAGATTCATGAGAAAATATTTGCTGGAATAATCAACAAACGTTTTGAACAAACGAAAAGATATATTCCTTGTACAAACAACCAATAGTGATACTATATGCATTTTTTTGAAGATTGTAAACATTATTTTTGGTATATATATATATATGTTCTTTTAATTTGATCTAATATTCATTTCAAATTTATCTTAAAACTATTAATAATACTAAACAAAATAGTTTTCTTTTAAATAAAATCTAAAAAAAACTAAATCTCTTTTAATCAACTCATAATTAATTATTATATATCGGATATCATATTAATTTTCAATTAATATCAACTGAAAAGAAAAAATAATTAACAGTTGAAAAATAAGATTTTTCTTTCAAAACAATAAAATTTCTTAAAATATCTGTAGATTTTGCAGATAAATTTATTTGTTTTCAAACTGTTTCTAAGTGAGCTTCGTTAGCAAAGATGAAAACGTGTGGAATTGCTGGGTTTCAAAATCTCTGAGTAGTCAATGAGAACTGTGAAAATTTTCGAAATAGAAAATTTGTTGTTTTTCTCTTGAATATCGTAATAAAGAATTTATCAACTGATCAATAATTTTTATTAAGATTAAAAGTAAATCGAAAAATATCTCTTTTGTATGTGTTTCACATTTGAATTCAGATTAATTTACTCAATCAGTCTTGTTAATTTTATAGAACTCACATATATTTTTGAAGAAAATAGTGAGTTTAACTCTAAAGTCGAAGCTTTGCGGTTTATCCTACCATTACAATCATAGTAACGCAGGTGAAAGACACTGAGCAACCTTCATAACAAAGCTTAAAAGGTTCTAAAACGTACCAGAATCTTTCTTGAAAATTAAATGGTTGAAACATGCTTTCCAGCATTCTAAATAATGCATTGTTTTGTTTCATTTATCATTTGATCAACATAAAAGGTGTAAATCGATCAACTTATAATTTTGTAAAATAATCAATATCAATGTTTGTGAGTTTGCAGATATAAAGAATAGTTACAACAGCCTTGCTTGCTATTGAATCCAATGCTTATAATAATAACATAAACTTAATTAAGAATAATGAAATATAGAAATAACAAAGAAATAGCGTTTGCTGATAATCTATCATTATTGGAAAAAGAATTATTGTCTTTTAGAGATTTTACACCTTAAGTAATTGTACTTATATAATAAAGCTAAAAGAGACATGTGACTTCTACATTTCACTTCGAAAAGAATTTTGATAACAATATTTTTTTTACTCCACTTCCATGAAGATGAACAATGTGAAATTCATGGAACTTTTAAAATTGGTAAGACTGACAACTTTTGTTTGAGTGAGCCATGTTCCATATACGCTAATATCAAAAATGAAAGAGGAATTCTTTCAAATTGTTTCATCTAGTAACTTAGAAAAGCTGATATCTAACAATATTCATGCTTTGTTTTCCTTGAATATCTTCAACCAACATATGATTTATTCTTATTTGAACTTTTTTGATTTATATCAATTTCATCAATGAAACCGAATGACTTTGATTAAAGGTCAAGGTCATACAATGTCTTCGATGAAATCGGCCAAAGTACATCAAAAATAATGTCTATTTCAGCATCAGAAGGGCAATTTTGTTTCATGTTTTCGACGTAAAACTTACAAAAGTTATGCCACTTTTTTCGTTTTTTTCACTGTCTAGGTAGGGAGTGCGCGTGTGGGTGTCAAACCCTGTAACACGAACCAATACCGACATCCTTACTATCTTCGAAATGGATATATTCGATGTTTTGTTGTTCGCATTAGACGATGGTCAGTGTACTAAGTACTTGAACGATTGAGACAAAACGATTCATATACTCTCGACGGCCGCATTATCTGAGACGAAGTTTCTTTTTCGAAGGTGTCATATTTTCTTACACAAATAAAATGAACCTGTTGGACCGATTAAATATGATGTGAATAGAAGAACAGAAATCGTCAAACATAAATGAGACTCGATTTTCGCAAAAACAATTCCAACTCATTTTCTTGTTTCAATACAAAAACGATGTTTTGTTTGTTCGTAGTCTAAGTCCGTTAGTCTTCCACTTTTTTGATTGAGTTTATCGAATCAAGAGTAGAACAAAGTTTTAGTAGACGACTAGTGATTTCTGCGATCAAATGAAAGTTATATACGATAATAGGCTAGAAATGGACACCAGTCATGTTTGCGAGGTTTCCAATCGCAAATAAGCGAAAGGTATCTGAAGGAGCATGTTCTTATCAATTTTTGATTTCCACCACATACTGGATAGTGTGGGCGAAGGCGAGCTGTGCGATCCAAAGTATCAGTTATCAAAGTCGAGGAAATCTCAGACTTTTCAAGAACTAATGTTTTATTATCCATGCTTTCATATGTTCGATTGCTGCCTATTTTGCAATAAACTTGTTTGAGAGAGGCTTTATATGATAGCCAGCTCCTGGAACGATTTGTTTAGGATAGAAAATCGATCTGGTGGACCACTGCCAGTTACAGGACATTCGTCAAGTGGATCAAGCCAATCATCAATAGGACCCATTAGTACTTTGACAACATACTTAAAAAGAAAAAAAAACAAACTTCCTTTGCTAATTAGAAAAAAATAATTTATTTACATACGTCACCGAAACTAAATGGAAAATCTTTTCCTTGTACTTTACGAATTTCTGCTCTTTATGATTAATAGTCATCAGCAACATCCATATTAGGTATTATTTTATCTCAATTATTAAGATAACTATAAAAAATAAAGAAATTTCATTTATCCAATAAATTCAGTATCATCTGTACAAGCAATAATTACAACTGGAATGCGATTAATTGGATTACGTTCATGACGTAGTGCATGTTCGAATGTTTTTATATCTTGTTGTCCACTATTATTTGTTGGTATACCATCCGTAGCAATTAATATTATTAATTTACGTTCTTGAACTTCAAGATGTTTTTCTTGTAAAACTTGTCGAAATATACGAACAAATTGGAGTTGGTTCTATGATAATATTGTAATTGATGAAAAACAAAATTTTGTTTTCTGTTTTTTCACATTCTCATTTACTAGCTGGTGGAACAGCAAACACAGGAATAAGTTGTTCAGTATTTTTAACATTACGCATTGGCTGACGATTTAAAAGAAAATGTTTATAACAAAAAAAATTAAATTATTATTGAAATTTTAGTTTTTTACTTACCAACACCATTTGGATCATAACTTGTTTATATATTCATATAAATAAAAGTATCCATTTTAATATATTAAAATAAAACTAACTTACACAGATGCAATATCAACTACAATTGAAACCGTTTGTCGAAGTTCATCTCATCTTGTTGAATTACAATCGTATGGACCTGATATATCATCTAATTTAATTCAAATATTCATTGGAAATAAGAATTTTTGTCGAAATGACGAGCTCGTTAAAACAAATGTTCTTCTAAGTATTTTCTCAATATCGTTATGCCTTAACCTTTTTCTTTTTAAACGATCTGCAAGGAATGTTGAAGTACATAGGGAAAAGTTTGCATCTCCTCCCTGCGTCGCAGGTTGTGATAGATACTTTTAACCTACGATCAAAGATCGTATAATGAACTACTTCCTTATTGCATTTCCGGAGAATTAAGTAAAAGAATGATGAACCAATGTGTTTCAAAGTCGAGAAAATCAAACATTCTTCCTGTGATTGACATCAACAGCTAAATTGTGTTTTACATTTTAATCTTCCATGGATTGCGCTAACAGCTTTTCTTTTGTGAAGATTCACAATTCGATTTTCTACAAGAACTTATCACAAATTTTGCAACAAAATTAGATAAAACATATTGCGAGACTCGAATGTAACCAAGTTTCACATATAAACAGCAGTCTGTTTAGATCTATTTGTTGGAGTCTTATACTAACGAAAAAAAAGTTGATAGCAATCTTGTATCGTTTGAAAAGATCTATCTTACTATTAGAACAGCTAAATTTTTCTATTAAAACCCGTTTATTTCTGTTTCCACACTTCCAAAAAACTAACAATTTTGGCACTCTGAGAAAACTTAGCATTAGTCAATCGGCAATACAATGAGTTAATGTAATTCAATTTTGCTTCAATTTCAAGAGTACATTGCGAAAACCAAACAAAGTTTGACATGTTTTTGGTTTTAGTTTCACAAAGTGATAGTTGCATCATAAAAAAAAACTTGATTAAAGCGAATGTCATTGAATATCATGAGAAAGAATACACTTAGTTATTACTCTGTCATTTTGTTATATTTGTACAAAGTTGAAAAAAGAATCAATTTAATTGTTCTGAACAACAACTTTTGAAAAGTCTTGCAGTATCATTTATTTGATGTTTCTGCTTAACATTTTGTAGCCAAGCTTAAAATCCGTTCTTGTAGAAAATTGAATCATGAATTTAAAAACAAAAGGAATAAGATATGAAGATATTGAGAAAATACTTCATGAGACATTTATTCTGGTACATCCATTCTCTGACCAAGTGCTGTATTCATTGATCCAGAATCTAAATAAATTTAAAAAGGCATCATTTTATAGAAAATAGAATCATCAAAAACACCTATCGTTTTTACTATAAGAATGACGATGTTATTTGTCTAGTATGAAATGAAAAGAAAAAATCTCATTCAATGTCTTTTTCTTACCACCAACAATAAATACAATTTCGTATCATTCTAATCCTCGTAATCTTGTTGCGAATTCTCGATTAATTTCATATCGACCAACTAGATATTGAAATTTTCCCATACGCTCATCGTGCGTTTCTTGTAATGAGTTAAAACTAAATTGACTCGAATAGGAAGGAGGTGATATTGATACAGAATATTTTTATGGATACATAATCAATTTATTGTGAGTTTGTAAGTAATGAAAAGATTTTCTATGACATATTATATTCTTTGCTTTTTCTTTGGTTTAATGTCAGCTTTCTTTCTGAAACTAAGGATGAGTTGTTGCTTGAACAAGAAAAGAAAAAAAGAGATCTCAAAATAGTTTGGTTTCTTAATGGATGAATAATATTGATAAGTTTATTATTCAACATAAAAAAAAAAGTTAAAAGGACTATTTCGAAACAACGCGATCAAAAGAATGTATTTGTTCGAGTGTATATATTCATAAAATCGGATATACGCTAAAGATTGACAATGAACGATAGAAACGATCAGTGCTTGATTAAGTATTTGAAGTAATCGTACTTGTAATCGAAGAAACCGATGAGTTAAACACCGCTCAAAAAGATAACACCGATACGCTCATGAATAATGCTCATTTATCTACAAAGAAAATAGCGATTGATTTATTTAAATGATTGTGAAAAACAGAAATACACTCCTTTTAAAAACAATTATTTTAAGTCTTATATCAGCAAGTCTCGAAGTAATGATCAAAGCCAGCAGCATCGGCTTTTATAGAAAGAATGTTCTCTCGAAGCAGTTTTGTAATGCACTTACAGAGAGCATCACTAATTGCAAAAAGAGCATGTCTATTTACTTTTTTTTGGATGTAGTGAGGTTTTATTGTAGTCTACGTTACTTGAAACTGGGCAATAAAAATGATAATATGACTTACGCATGACTTCAATCTTAGAATTTATAAGGCATTTGTCACGAACTGAGAGTGTCACCTATGCACATCGGCAAGGAGGTGTACTTTTGTCATCTGTATATCTCTAATGGTGCTCTTCCTTCGTTTCATCTCCTTATGTAGCAGAGAGAGTGATGTGAACACGCGAATATAGCGAAGAGAATATCGACATGAAATGAAGCGTAACAGTCAACTAATCGTTACAGAATTTGTTAGACTAGTAGACATGGATGTTCAGGACGGTCCTGGATCTGGGTCTGAATTTTATCTTTTAACCGAATTCGGATCGCGTTCCGATAATTTTCGATCTGGCGATTTCTGGTAGTAGCTAAATTTTCTCTAGTAAACTCATAAAAAGACACAGTCTTGGGTACTCGAGAATGTCTATACTTGTCCAGCTTGCAAGTGATATCTTATCTCATATACATTTCTTGCAACGAGTCTAGACTAAAAAATGCAAAGGAACATGTTTTCATGTTTAACCTTAGATCATTCAGAGCGTTAAAATAAGTTTTATCGAAATGGAACTGATCAAGCCTATGCCTGCAAAAGGTAAATTTATTTAGTGTGGGAACAAGAAGAGCAGCTATTCATTTTCAAGATCGAAATTCTTACGACGAAAATTAAATGATTATCTTCCCTCAAATATGTTTTTTGTTTCTCGAAGTTCCAAACTATCTTCCACTATAAGCTGAATTTCATAAATATGTACTAACACAAGAAAATAAAGACAGAAAGTTTAAAAATATTATCATTTCCACTAAAGTTATTCGTGATGATTCGTAAAAAACAAATCCACATGATTTTCCCGATGTTTTCAAAGAATATAATAAATAATACTTCACATCAAATGTAGACAAGCTCGTTTATTTTAATGCAAATTTTTTGCCGATAGCAGAAAGAAAACAGAAGACACAAAGAAATGAACCCTCGATTACGAATAATAGTAATTTTGTATTCAGTATTGTCTTTTTCTGTTAAGTACGCAACAAAATGACAGCATTTTAAAATACATGCAGACGAACCTTCATCTGTTAGAATGTTTCATATAAAAAATATATAAATATATTTTATCAGACTCATACAAAAGAACAAGAAAAAACGAAACCAAAAGCTATGCGTGATATATCAGTAAAAATAAAATTAACTGTACTAAAATTATGCATGTACTTCAGAGTTAGATAATAATGATTAAAGATTTTGATTTGTCAGCGAGAAAAAATTTGATAGCTGTGATAAAAGCTATCAAAGTGAAGATGAATCTATCGAAATGAAATTAAGATTTATTAACAATAGAAAAATATGAAATCAAACTGTTAGAGTAACAAATTAGTAGTATTTAAGTGTACTCCGATATCTCCGCTGTTTTTCTATCAAAACAAATATTTAATAGAAAGATTTTATTCTCATCTGCAGAATTATTCAAATACATATTTTGTTATAAAATAATACAGCGTGATTTCTTTCGATCATGATCAGCACCCGCTGTTGTTCGCTCATAACCTTCTATCATTACTTTCGTTTCATCTAAATCATTAAACCAACTATCAACACCACCCATTAGAATTTTGACAACATACTTCATAAAATAGAAAAACACTCAATCAATAAAAAGCTTTAAAAACATTGAGTGTGACTGCTTACATCGCCAAAACTAAATGAAAATTGTTTTCCTTGTCGTGCTTGAATTTCTCATTTTTCGTTTCTATAATCATTAACAACGTCAAGATTAGCATTTATTTTAATCCCAATCATTTAAATATCCAATACAATCATTATCATATATTATTAAATATAAAGAAGATTCAACGAATGTTACTAGTAGTTTTCAAATTTTTTTCTTATCTTAAACTTGCAATAATTATTACACGTATATGATTAATAGGTTCACTTTCCTGTGGAAAAACCTATTCTAATGAAAGAATATCTCAACAACCTTGAATATCAGTAGCTACATCATATGTAGCTAGAAATATCAATAATTTACTTTCTTTTATCTCATGTTATTTATCACGAAGTACATGTCGAAGAACTGGACCAATTGGAATTGAGCCTTAAGAAAAATAAAAATGTTTTTCTTTTTTAAAAAAATTCTATGTTTAAACATATCTGCTGGAGGAATAGAAAAGATAGAAACTAATTCTGGTGAATTATGAACATGAAATAAAAGTTCATGATTAAGAAAATGAATGTCAACACCATCCGGATCAGAGATCGAATCGAGCCGAGTTTTACTGGTTCGGTTCATTTTCTATTCCCGATAGGTGTAACATTTCTCTATTATTTTATTTGACATTTAAATTTATCAATCCGATTGTCAGAACATATATGACTTAAAAAAATAGATCGAAAGTAAGGAGAGTAACTGATATTATACAATTAAATTCGATCACCACAATAGACGATAACGTATAAAACAGCCGCGCTCCGTTCCTTCTATTTTCTGATGATACTGAAAAACTCATAAACAAATCTTCGGTAGCAGACTTGAGAGATAAAAGATTTCTTTTGTTCTAAGAGATAAAC